CTTGAAAGACACAACACGAAAAGAAACAGATTTGTGGTATACGTTTAGGCATCTTTATTTACATAATGAATGTATGTGTAAATTATCATGTACATATATTATATATCATGTATATCATATATATATCATGTATATTATATGTATAATATCAAATGAAATTCCTAGAGAATTTTTCATGCATTCATTTCTTCATTAAATTCTAAAACGAAATAAGTTTTCTCTATGCACGCGCACTTATAAACATACATTCATTATGTAATTATTTACAGACGCATAAACGTATACCACAAATCTGTTTCTTTTCGTGTTGTATCTTTCAAGCATTTGTGCAAAGCAGTAATGTCGCAAAACTCATGAACTTCAATGGACAATATCTCAGGTTTAAAACAAGATATCTCGTTGAGTTAAACAGCATTATCAAGGGGAAATATTTTACTTTCAAATGGTTTATTACGTTTTCTAAAAAAACGAACTATTCTTGATGAAAATACATGACGAATATAGCAAAAAGTCGGGGTTTTCGCATGTTTAGGCTCCAATATCTCGAAAACCTGAGCCAATCGAGCAAAACTGATTCGGGATTCAGATTCAGCGCATCAAAAACCTTTGGAAAATTAGCGGCCTGTGTTATTATTATATTTTTTTGAACGAGCCACTGAAGACAGGATTAAAAATGAATTACAAAAACTAAAATCGAAAAACGCCGATGACGTAATAGGTTCTCCAAATTCCGAAACAACCAAAAGGATTGGTTCTCCATATTGGAAAACAGCGGTGTTTAAACAACGATCTTACCATGATGCTAGATTGTGAAGATGAAAGTCAGAAGGATACATCGACATTTGCAGTCCCGATGCAATTCTCAAAAAGGAATTATTGCACCGCAATAAAAAAAAATATAACTGAAAGTCCTCTCAACTTGTTCAGCGTCAATCGAAAAGAATTTACAATTTTGTCAAGTTTCAAGTTTGTCGTCTCGAGCGAGTAGCTATTTAGTGGCGCAGATTAGATTCACGACCCTTTAGAAACAGGCTGTAACCCGAAAAGGCAGCAAAATTATTCTTTATTAAATAAAATGTTCCAATTTCTAAAATCAGGTACTAAATAAAATAAAAAAATTATTAAAAGTTACTGACTTTTCCTTTTTTATTTACATAAATCACCTAATATACTCACCTTAATTTTTTTTTAAAAATACTTGACGTCCGCATTGGCATCCGCATCCGCGGATGTTAGCTTTTAAGCATCCGCATCCGCCTTCTCATCCGCGGATGTCTAAATTCCACATTCGCAAGATCCTTAATACAGATGTATTAATGTTGATAATTTTTTGAAATATCTTTGGTATTTCCAATAATTGTAGGTGCACGTGTGTACAGTTTTACGCTTATTACCAATAAGACTGAAAGATGTACAAAGTTCTGCTAATGCTTGAAATGTCAAAATTATCGCTCTAAAGGCCCCGCCAGATAGAAATTCTTTTTGGTGTCACAGGGATGCTTTTGACTGATAAGGTGCGAGGCGGTACAATGAAAACGTGGCCGCAAACAAAACTGCTCATTTTGATTGGCAAAGAGTCAGGTGGTTTGAATTCGTCTCATATATATCGTTTTGCTTCATTGACGCGCGTCAAAAGTTAAGAGTTGGGCGATTTTAATCAGTTTCGGCAATGCATGCGTTGCCAATGTGGCGTCTTCTACTCAAAGTCACAAAGTTAACTTCAATGGCAGTTAAAAGCGTCCCCGTGACGCAGAAAAGAATTTCTATCTGACGGGGCCTTAAATCTCGAACACGGTTGCATTAGCAAGTTTAAAACTTTAGCAAGAGTGGTGTTTCCACGCACATATCTATTGCCTGTGAAACCAATAATCGTATTTGGGGTTTCTACAATGCCAACGGCGCTCTTACACAAATCTCCGTGGCGCATGTGAAAGCGCAGGGGTCATGATGTTAGCACTGTTCAAACGATTTTAGCGAAAGGATAGTCAAACAGAATGCCGCTTGTGGCAGGTTGTTTTTTTAATGGTGTCAGTGTAGAAACACATGCCCAAATTTGATAAGACGCATTATTTTATTAATGATTTGTTTATTTGGATTTTCGGCTTTTGTTTATTATATATGTATGTATGTATATGTACATGTTTAGTTTTGATCTTAATCATTAACTGGCAATATTGTGCAAATGAATTTGTAGCAAATACACATGGACATACATATATATGTATGTTTTGCAAATTTACACATTCATATATATATATGTAAATGTTAACGTACGATTTTTTAATTGCTTCCGATAGTTGTACAAATTAAAATCATAGTTATAATAGTTACAGCAGGAGTTGTTGTTTAATAAATAAGATTTAATGTCGTAATATATTTTTATTTTCTGTATTTTAAAAATTTAATAGTAATGGTATTAACCGTGTAATGACATATACATATAACCGTGTATTGTGTTTTTTTTATTACTATTAAATATATTTTATATTAATATTGGTACTTATTATTTGCAATATTATTACAGTATATCGTCGCTAAAAGTAGAAAACGGCGTATCGTCGTTCTGCAAAACCGCGTAACTGACATTTGTGCCAAAAATTAGATTTGTTCACCGGAATTTCCTGACATCAAGCCTTACCCATTCTTACCAAAATGTCGATTTATAAAATTAGCCTGCAATATGATTCTTTTATAAAACAGAGAACCGTTTTGAAATCAGATGTTTTTAAGCCCTATTGTAAAATTTAAGCAACCTCATATACGCGGTTTTGCATTATCTTGATACACGGTTTTGTACTTTAAACGACGATATGAATTTATATATTGTTAATTAGTTAATTAATTTTTACATTCAGTTTCAAATTTAATTACTTTATTTTAGTAATTAAATATTTTCCGATATTGCAACAATTTAATCGAGTTATGTGCCCATCATAGGTTCCTGGCGTATTTCTGATTTTAGTTTGACAAACTCTTTGGCCACTTCATCATTATTACGTTGTGATAAGATTCGTAAGATTGTCCAGCCAGTCTCGTCCATTTGTATACGACGTTGTAATGGCAGCCAACATGCAACCGAACCCTAAAAAATAGCCACAAATACAATAAAAATATTTTTGAATTGCATAGCCCACAAAACAAAAGTCACAAAATCTTGAAAATCTGGGTGGACCGAACACTGGCCACGTAAAAAAAAAACTCCACTGAAAGGTAAAATAAAGCCTCGGAAAGGATCTTATTTTGATGACGAGCATGACAAAAGTACAAAGTACTACGATTTGAGAGCATGCACCTGGAATGTCCGGACCCGGAAAAGTCTTAAGGCCTTTCGACGTATACTACAGCTGTCAACCAGTGCTATCTAGTGCCTGATGTTCAGAACATACTTAAATTATAGGGGAAACACCTTTCCACCTCTCTAAAGAGGTAACAGCACTGAAAGTAGTGGAGAAGGTAAACTCGAACGCCCTATCGATAAAGAGGGAAGAGATCTCTCACCGCCTGAATCTGAGAGGTACGAATAGCAGAGTATGGTATGATGGACGCATTCTCGACGATTGGAAATTGCGTGTGCTCTAGCCAATTCTCAGGAATGGCGACCACTCCATACGTGCCAACTATCGCGGGATCAGCCTTCTAAGCATCGGATATAAGGTCTTATCTAGCGTATTGTGTGAAAGACAAGCCCACCACCAACGAACTGATTCGGCCTTATTAGTGTGGCTTTAGACCACATCATATGCCAAATATTCGAAGAGACCCGCGAGTAGGGTTCGAAATTCCAGACTTTGGTATCGATACTGAGTACTCATTCTGGCATCGAGCTCATGGTATCGATACTCTAAAAGTCTCAGGGAAAAAGTATCGATACTACTCAGTATCGGACTCATTAAAATACATTTTTTGGGATACTAAAATTATTTTATTTTTCAATCGTATATCTAGTTATTTCCTGAAATTAAAACAATAGAAATTTAAAATATTTCATTTTTATTTCATTGCAGAACTTACTTTCACGTTAGAAGTAATTTTAACGTTAAATGTACATACATACATGTGATTTACTTTCACGAATTTCAAGTTTTATTAAGAAATTTTTGTAAAGTTTTAGGGTATGCATTTTTGTAGCCTTTTCAATTTTAGTATAATAATGTGCAAGTTTGAATTAAAAGTCGACGGTAGTAGGATACACGTAAATCTAAATAGGTTACAAAACTGCGTACCCAAAAAGTTTCTAAAAATTCTGCATTTTCGTGAACTTTACGTAAAGTTTTATGGCCGTATTCATAAAAAATAAAAAAGGTTTATAAACTGAAAAATTTATGAAAATGTCATTTTATTAAGCTCTTTAAATTTACTTTATTTTTTAAGAATAAGGCCATTAAACGTTAACTTATTTGGTTTAGGTTATGCAACAGACTACACGCAATTTCAGTTTGATTTAAGTGATGGACAAAATTGAATGATAGTAATCCATATAAGCAAAGAAAGCAATGGATGAAAAAATTTAAAAAGTGTGTTTTTTAAAAAGTATTCGATACTACGAGTACTTTGGAAAGTATCGAGTAAATTCACCAAATAAGGTATCGAGTATTAAAGTACTCATTTTAAAACCCTCAGTATCGATACTTACTCAATATCGATAGTATCGTTCGAACCCTACCCGCGAGAGTAAAGCTGATGCCAGATAAAACTTTGTAGCTTTGCGTGACATTTATAACTTTGCCAGCAAAGCGCCAGAAGCAAAAGGTATGCCACAATGAACGCCAAGAAAACAATGTTGTACCGCTTTTTTACTCATCAAAGTTGCTGTGGATTTTAATTATTTTGATTTAAAATTATCAGCAATGTAATTAAGTTTTATGTTTCTGCATGAAAACCCGAATTTGGACGAAACAAAATAAATATTAAATCGGCTGATTGTCAAAGCGCGCAAAAAGATGGGAGTTGGCCATCTTTTCGCTTCGCGCTGCAGCTTCAACGATTTATGTGTCATGCTTTGTGCATTTTCATACAATTCATCTTACCTGTCAAAGCGAATCTGTCACGTAAAGCGAAGCGAAAGTTTTATGTGGCATCAGCTTAAGGTCGACACACACCATTTATTTGTCGATTTCAAAGCCGCTTTCGACCGCACGAAAATAAGCTGCCCTTATGCCGCAATGTTGGAATTTGGTATCACAACGAATATAATACGGCAGGAGCAGTGTTGCCGTTTAAGCCCTTTGGTGGCTAGATTAGCTACCACATACTTTTTTTGGTCACATAAATTTAAAACTGCCCCTAGCCCTTTTATAGCCCTTTGGAGAATTTATTCATATTTGGCATGAAAATGTTGTATATGCTTAATTTGATCTGATTTTTTTTCATTTATGTAAGAGATGAATTTTTAAACTAAGAAAGACTGATATATATACATATATGTATTGTATGTTCCTTACTGTGTATGTTCTTGTGGTGTTGAGCTGCTGGTGCGACCTAAAAAACTATTTGAAAATTTTATGATTGTACCAGCATGCTGGTGTCGTGAGTGGTAAAATTAGCTAATTTTTCTAAGTAAAAAGTATTTTTGCGGAAATTTCTTGCACTATATGAGTCAAAGCCGTGTTTGTGGAAGATTACATTCACGATATTACAGTTGTGAATTAAAAAAAAATAATGTTTAACAAAATGGTAGAAAAATTATGAAATTTCGGCTCTAATCATTTCGATCTTTCCTGGACCTCATTTTTAAAGCAATAAATAATGTACCAGTTAGTTATATACGTCGAGCCTGATGGTACAATCACTTGATGGAGCCAGCAAGCTGGTGTCGTATATTGCACCTTTTATACAAAAAGGTGTTTGGTTGGATAAAATATTAGGTTTTTTTTTCAGAGTTCATTGTTTTTCTATGCCATTACTTATTGAAAATGTTAGCGGGTATACTTATACGTATACGTCAGTAAAAAATTTTAGCCACAACGTTTTTTAGCTCGTTTTAGCCATTTTTTTTAAGGAATTTGGCTACCACTAAAAATGATTCGCGGCCGCACTGGGCAGGAGGTTTGATACCAAACGAAGTTTCAGACAGGGCGACTCCCTTTCATGTGATTTCTGAAGAATTGCATGGAAATCATCCGTTCAAACAATCATTGCGTCTTTTATACCTTCTCGAAATTAGATGGAGAAGCAAATTGCTTGGGTCTGATAGTGAATGAGGACAAAACGATGTATCTCCTGTCATCAGACAAACAGTCAGCGCATACGCGACTGAGAATTGACACCTGTAATTTCGAAAAAGTAGACGAATTATGGTGATTTCGTTTCTTCCAAAAAATTTTACCCTTCCCCGGTGCAAATGTGTTTGACGTCACACTCAACCCTGTGAAAAGGCATTGTTTTGCCTTCTTGTACTTGTCTAGCTAACGCATTTCAAAATAATGTCGTTTTAAACAACCATTTGATTTTCAGGTCAACCATCACCCCTGACAAAGCTCCACAGGGGAGAGAATGTGCCTTTTTGCATTAAAAGAGTGAGACGTTTTAAGAAGCGAGCACACAATTTTCTCACCGTTTGCCTTTAATTTAGAATGAAACACGAAAAGAGAAAGGGGCACTCAAAAGGCAAAATTTTTTGGAAGAAACGAAATCACCATTATTAGTTTATTTAAGTCAACTCATCATTAGCTCGTTTCTGTAACTTTTCTCTACCGATTATTTCTCTACTAGTAGAGAATATACGTCATTCTCTACTACTCATTAGCAGTAGAGAACAGGGCGGCGAATTCATATCTCAATTCGAATTGTTACAGAAACGAGCTACATGTCCGTCCTGGTGTATGGCGTAGAAGCAAGGCTATCGGATCCGCTGATTTTACGGCGAATTTGTACCTTTTGTCAAAATTACGTGTTTGTTGTAATTTTGTTTTGTACTGTAGCCCGTTTCTGTAACTTTTCTCTACCGATTATTTCTCTACTGGTAGAGAAAATACGTCACTCTCACCTACTAATTAGCAGTAGAGAACAGGGCGGCGAATTCATATCTCAATTCGCCTTTGTAGAGAATTGTTACAGAAACGAGCTACAGATCAATGTGCGTATAATTTGTAATTGTAATTTTTTTTATTCTGTTAACACCACCTTGTATAAATTCGCCTTGGCGTAGAAGCATGGACAATGAAAATAATTGATGAGATGGCTCTTCATGGGGCGTAGCCAGGTATGCAAATTCCAAATTTTTTCTTATATATTCAAAAATAATACTAGGAAATGCTAGCTCGATAAATAATTACAGCTTAAAACGATGTATACATTTTTAGTTTATCTTACAAAATTGCAGAGGTATATTACATAATACACCAGAGGTTCCCAAACTTATTTTTCTCGTAGACCCGTTTCAAAATTTTACTGGTTTCGGTGGACCCCCTGATGCTAATTTATAAATTATTCCCATAGCTCATCAAAAAATGTGAAGATTAAATGTAACGATGTCATTCTGCATCGCGGGTGAGTCCCAAAACTAAATTCGGAGTGGCAAACATAAAAATAAAATATTTTCCTGTGTTCTATTTAATACAATAATGTGATTACACACTTGCAAGTTTTAAAAAGCAGAGCTCGTAAAGCCATGAAAGAACTATCTCGGTCTGAGGAGTTACATTTCTTAAGAGCAATAAATAAACTCCTCACACGTTCGCCACACTCGTGAATTTGCACGTGATGTATTTGTCAAACCTTTTATTTGTGTTGATGGCATCATTTTTATTTTTATCTCACCGAGTTTTAAAGTGACGGAAAAAATATTTATCACTCACATTTTTAAAACACAAAACTTAAAACAACAAAACGGCTAAGCTTTTTACGCTAATCTTTTTATTCAGAAACTGACAATAGAGAAAAGAACAAATCTAGAAAAATTGATAACAAACAACCAAGCAAGCAAGAAGCACAAAAAGTGTTCCACCGTCTCATCCTTTTCAAGGAAAGAAGGGCAAATGGACTTGTCATTTACGCCTATCACAGTCAGGTGTTTGTGGCACGTGAAGTGACCAGTCATCAGTCCCGTCTTCTCAGTGAGAGGAAAAAACTAGATAGACCTTC